AATATTGAGAAATAATTAAATGTTTTTAGTAAAATTTTGGTACAAGTGATCTACGGAGAGAGTTACAGAATTGGTCCGATATATTTTTTTTAGTTTATATATTTATATTTAATACAAATATTTTATTTTTTATAAAATTATTATATATAATAAAAATTATTATAAAAAAAATAGACTTTAAAATATTTTTTTGATCAAAATTTTATAAAATTTTAAATGTTTATAATATAGAATTAGTAGAAAAATTTTTAATACTTTTTGTAATAATATCTTAGTAACTACATATCTAAATTTAATAAAAAATTTTTTATCTGCATTCTATAGATCTGTAGAATTTAGATAAAAAAAAATTAATCAAATTTGATTAAGTAATTACTAAGATATCATTAATAGAAGTTAATTTTTTAAATTTTAAAATATTTATTATACTGTATAATACTTGTATTAAAATTTTAATAAAATTTTAATCATAGATCCTTTGACCAAAAATCAGTGAGAAGCAAAATATAAAAAAATCACAAAACCTACTAGAAAGCAACACTTAGACCCTTAATAAAAAAAAAAAGAACAACAAAAGTTACATTTAGCTAAAGAACAAAATACAAATAGAAAAAGCTTAGAGCTAGTAGAGCTTGGAAAAATAAATATTTTTTTAACAAAAAGAAAAATTTTATGAAAATTTTGGAAAATCTTTGTTATTCTGTTGTTTAGATTAATTAGGTTATACAAAAAATATAATAAAATAAATAAAGTAAACAAACAAGTACATGTATTAAAATAGTTTATTAGAGCAAGCATATGATAGAGAAACAATTATACTAAACTAACTAACAAATAAAACAACAGAAATCAGTATAAAAGAAAATATATATAAAGTAAGACCTAGAAGCTTATTAGAAAAAATGCTAAAAAGATCAATAGCACAAAGCTTGCAAAAAATTGACAATTCTAAGCTAGTTAAAATACTAGAAACAACAGATATTATAGAAACAAAAATAGACAAATATACAGCATTACTGTTTGCAACAGATGTAGCAAATATAGCAGCAGTAAGAACATTAAGTAAAGTTATTACAGAGGTGAATAGATTAAAGAATTTTAGCTTCAAAATAGAGAATAACCTGCAATAGCAGAAAGAAAGAGATGCAAAAAGCACAAGCAAGTCAGAAAAAATAGTTAAGACAAAAAGCAATAAAGAAAAAGAGAAATCTGAAGAAGAATTCAAAATATACAAAGCAGGTAAGAAACAGGTAGTAATAGATAAAGAACAAAGATATACAACATAAGAACAAGATATAAAAGAAGCAAGAAAAAATAAAAAGACTTTATAATAAAACTTAAGATTGGGGAAAATAAAAGAAAACAAAAAAACCAATGAAGAAAAGTTAATAATACTACAAGAAGATGCAACAGAAGTATTATTAGAGCAAAGTATCTAGGCACCAGATAACAAACCATGTAATAATAAAATACTAGTAACAATAAAAATTCTTGCTTATAATGTTTTAGATAAAACAAAATTAGAAAGAATAGGCATAATAAAATTAATGCTTAACACAAATAGACATATTACAAAGATTAAAAAAGTCTTTGTAAAAAATAATAGTTAAATTAAAGTATCATTTAATTGTAAAAAAAAAAAAGAAGAAGCAATCAACTAGCTAAATCGAAAAGATGAAAGTTAGTTCAATTTGATTTTAAATAAAATACAAAATCAAGTAAAAAATAAAAAAAAACAAAAGAGGATGGTGATCCTAGTGTAGTGGTTGGGTTGTCATCCTCCAAGTGGCAGGTCTAAGGTTCAAATCCCACCTATGACGAAATTTGGAAATTATATCTGTGTTATGGTAACTGTCTTCTGTCGATCAGTTAGCCTCATGTGGCTGTTACTCAGGTACACCAGGCCGGGTTCCCCTGGCTTTGGGAGCTCACGGCATCTATGCAAAGTGTAACATTACACGTACATAGAGGAATGTTACCAGTGTTGCATAAGACTTCAGTACAAACCCATGATAAGTCCACTGGGCATAGAAGACTAAGGAACCGAGGTGACAGAAACCCACTTGGAAATTCCTAAGTAAAGAGGTAGCATGAACTTTCGACAGTACTATCAGACCAGTTGAAGCCTACAAAACATCTTCATAGGAACCAAAGATTAAAACTAGATAGCAAATATATGTAGAGGAGCACATAACCAACCAGGCCGCCAGGTTCATCAGAGAAAAAGGATACAGAAATATACCATACCAGGCCATCTAGATTGGTAATCTGAACTGAGACTGACAGTTCTAAGTTGTGGCTAGTAGGGGATGATGAAGAAGATACCAGAAAGATGGGTACTAGAGTTCTAGTGAACTTTACAAGAATAGAAATAGTGTAATGTAGCGGTTAAACAGGTAACCTCTATGACTGCAAGTGTTAGGTAACTATAGTGTGTTGCATAAAACTAGGTCTATATATATAGGACATAAAGGCTTTAGTAAGTTTTCTATCAAGGATAAAGTAGTCCTAAAGATACCGATAAGCATTGAGAACTTGAATAGGCGGCATCTTGAGATGTTTCTATGATACAAGAAGGACTGCATATATAGAGGGTTTAAATAGACAAGACCCCTAGTTGGCTTGCAGGTATGGCAACTAATATAGAACTTATATAGTAATGTGTAAGTGGACTACTTAAATTAGGTACCAAAAGTGCACATGTGGCTAGTTGTAACCTCCAATGTAAGGTAAGCCCCTGGTGGTATGTCATGTTCTAATATACTTAAATAAAAACATCACAACTCCCAAAATAGGGATTTTAACTAAAAAAAAAAAACTAAATCTTCATCATATAATTATATTAGAATATAAAATAAATAAATCTTATACATCTATATAATTATTTAATAAAAGTAATATTTTTACTTTACTAATTAGTTAAAATAATGTTTTTTTTTTATTTATTTATATAAATATTTATTTTATAACCTATAATAAACATTATTGTAATAAAGAAACACCTTTTTAGAAAAATACTATAATAGATATTACTCAATCTAAATAATTTACAATATCTTAATTCTTTAATTCAATATTAACTATTGCATATAAATAACTAACTTGTTTTTTTTTATTTAATATTATATTATTTATTTAATAAATCTATAAGTTTAAATAATATTAGTATTAGATTATTTAAAATTTAAAATTTAAATTAAAAATTTATTTTTTTATTAATTTACAAATATAAATATTTATATTTAAAATTATAAATTAATTTTTAATAACTATTTAGATCTGATAATACAAAAATAATAAAAACATTTAAATTTCTATTAATATTACTTTGATTATTTTTTTGTAAATATTTTGTAAATTGAAAACCTTTATTATTTATAAAAATAAATTAAAATATTAATAATTTATAATATTTACTATCACATGATTAAAAAAATAAGTAATATTATATAAAAATATAATATTATAATTCTTGTAATAAATTAATAAAAAATACATTATAATTAAATATTTATTATAATTTTTATTATTTAGATTGTTATGAATTTTTTTTTTGGTATTAAAGTAAAACTAGATTGTTATGATAATATGTAACTTTTTTAATTTTCTTTAATTTTTTTATTTTTTTATTTAAAACTTTTCATAAACATTTAAATTTATTTTTGCTTATAAATTAAATATTTAAATTATTGGAATGTCAAAAAATATATACTTAATAAATTAATGCATTTAATTAAGGATAACAGTACATAATTCTTCTTGAATTTTAACTTAACAAATTCTTAAAATAAATTTTATCATTTCTTTCAAACTGTTCCTTATTTATAATAATTTCAATTTCATAATCATATTCAACTTCATTGCATCAGTTATTTAAAATCTGAATCCACTTAATAATAATAACTTTTTAGGTATTTTCTAAAATAGTATGAGGAATTATTGTATTAATTTCTTTTTCAATTAATTTATAATATGTTTTTTGATTATGTTAAAACATTTTTTTAAAAAAAAACTTAAATTAACTTCTAACTATTTAGATTTAACTTTTTTATTCATCACTGCAATAATCAGTTTTAATTAATCACTTTAATTTGACAATACCGGATAAATCCGTTATTGAGTGCTTCGCCCCCAATAATTTCGCCTTCTGGCACATTAAATTTCCAGGCCATATACGTCTTCGTATTCGTCACCTGACATTAATTAAATAATGATCAACTGATTACTATTCAATGTGCCGAATACTACAGCTATTGGGTGCGTAGTACCCAATAACTTATTATTTCGAGTTAGCCGATTTAACATTTTATTCAACCGGTTGACCCGAGTTTTTTTGGTTCAGTTTGGTTATCTGATTAAGACTTAACTAATTCAGATCAACCTTGCTCGTTGGTTTTTTAATTGTAATTTGGTTTTGAATTTTCCGACTAAAATTAAAAATTTTGAAGATCGTCGGCTTAAATTATGTTAATGCAGACTAAAATACTACACATTCTTTTTGTACAAAGACCAAAAGTTTAACGTTAATTATAAATTTAATGGTAATTACAACAAAAACTTTCGATTAAAGAAACGATAAATATCTTGGATACATTTATGAAGATTTATGTATAATCACGTAATTAAATAGATAAATATGTGGCGAGATCGTTTCGATACCAACGAAAATCACCTGAATTTATTATGCAAAAATCAGGAGATAATTTTGCTAGATTGAAAAATAATGATATCATATATTTATCTTTAACAATTTTAAATGATAAAATTTTGACATCATGATATTATGAAAAAATACGTATATAACTAGTACATAATCTTCTTGCTTTCCATACACTGAGAATTGAATTACTTTACTTTTTTTAAAAAAAAAACAACGAAAATAAATATAAAAAAAAAAACATGAAAGATTCAATTTTCATTCTTGAAGCAGACCGACCAACAGGCATTGCCACTGTATCCGCCCTTTTCAACACTGGTTCTAAACATTCAAATCGTCATATTCACGTAACAGCTGGTGTTAGTCCAAATAGTTCACAAGAAGTTCGTACAAAACTTTCACAATGCGGAGCAGAAGTTGTGGTTATCGATGATCCAAAAAATGTGAAATTTAAAAATGTTCATAAATTAATGATCATCTTAACACCCGAAAGATTGGATGCAGGACTCATTTATGTTGAAGCAGCTAATCGGGACATGGTTCCTTTCGTATTATTACAATCGGTTGTTATGGCTGATGAACGGAATGATTATGTAGGAAAGAAGTATGGAGAACTTGAAGAGAAAGTTAAAGAATTGATAACAAAAGAATGTACTAATGATGAAGTTAAAGATTCTCATGTCCACCGTTATTGGTACGAATGTCAATTTTATGAATATTTTTAAATATATCGATTTTATTATATAGGTTAAAAATAATAATAATAATATATATTTAATGTTTAGGTCAATTTTAAGAGCCGGAGTTTATGATCATTACTTGTTGGCATTTAAGGATTGCATCAAAAAAGGCGTTTTAGACCTACCTATTGGTGACGGCGAGGTGAGAAATATTAAAATTATAAACTATAAGATATTAAATTTATTTTAACTAAATTTATTTATTTATACAAATTATTATATTTTTTAAAAAAAATTAGTTTGCGCCAGTTTCAGTCGAAGATGTAAGTATACATAAAATAAAAACTTAAAAAAAGAAGAAACTATATATATATTTTTTAAATAACATTTTTACTCGTTATAGGTTGGCAAGGCAGCAGAACATATGCTCGATAAATCTGAAAACTATTACTCCAAAATTTATACCATTACTGGGTGTGAACTTTTGTCTGGAAAACTTCTTGCAGAACGTCTAAGCCAGACTCTTCATCATGAATTAGTTTATAAACCGTCTGAAGATGAACAACATATCAAAGAACACATTAAGCAATATATCACTACTCCCGTTGAGGTTGAAACCGTCTATCGTTTATTCGAGTTTATTAAGGAGGGTAAATTGAAATATGTAACTCCTCATTTTACTGAAATTGAAGGTTGGAAACCTAAAACGGTTGTACAATTCTTCTTGGAAAACAAAGTTGAAATACTAAATAATTAGATCATTATACATATTTCATTTCATTTTTGTAAACTTTTTTTTTAATTAATAAAATTATTTTGTGCATATGTATTGTGATATAAAACTCTAAAAATGTCCGTGGCGCTTATATATGATGTAATTTCGGTATATAATATAGTATTAATTAATTGACTATTCGCACTCGAATAGTTAATTATTGTGTTATGTACCAACTATATTGCTTGGAAGTGAGTAATACTGTATTTAATCGAGGGATTTTTTTAACATTTTTGATCAAGATTGTTGTGCCTAAAAACCCTTACATAATTTTTTAATAAAAACGCCGAAAATGACATCTGTAAGCATCTGTAAACCTCCCTAAATGCACACCTCCTATAAACGTACGTATGTACTTTGTGCTTCAGTCTCAACCACTAATCATATACTTGGAAAATTCTTTACAGTTAATATACTCCTGAAGGGATATGAAATCAGAGATCGGATTATTTTTACGTACAGTAAATGCACTCTCACATTAAATGACACTCTCGAGGGATGCATTCATAGATTTTCTGACCAAAAAATTTACCACATATCCAAGCGTGCAATTACGTTAAAAAAAAAACATATTTGTGTGTTGCAAATTATCATTTGTTGCAGGTTTTTCATTTTTCAGCACTAATATATGACAAATAAATTTTGTCACGGCAGAAGCTAAAAATAAGTTGGTGATTATATAATAGAAACCCTACTGAAATCCACTTGTACATTTGTGACCCTAAAAAATGAAGTATATCAGTCATGACAAATATAAATATTTAATATTGATTCGTTTTTTTTTTATTATTATAAATTATTCTTTATACAGTTTTACGAACAAATTTATTAGTGTAACAATTAGTTATTTTTTGAGTCATATGTATTGAATGCTACAACTTTTCTATTTATATTTGTGTAAATACGTGAATACGTAAAAAAAAAATTTGGTTTGTTATAAGGTTGTTATTCTTTTTATTTGTTTTTCTAAGTGAAACAAATATATGTTTTCCAAGATCGCGTCATTTTACATATATTCATTTACGTGTACAGTACATAACAGATAAATATAAACAGTATATCATTTAAAATTTTTTTTAATTGCGAATTTTATATGGTTGCACTTATTAAAAGATTCTACATATTTTATGCATGAATGAACTAAAGCAGAAAAAAATGTATACTGTTTTTTTTTTTTGCTGACGCCGCAGCAAAAAAACGCACCAAGAAATTTATTACTTTACAATCACAGTGATGATTAGATTTACAATGAGTGAGTGAGTGAGTGAATGAATGAATGAATATGTAAATGAATAGGTGAATGAATTGAATCGATGACTAAGTTCTAGAAAATGAATCCTACTAAACGTGATCGAAAAAAAAGGTTGGTTTCTGATATTACATTTTTTTTTTTTTTAGAAATTCAAAAAGTAAAGTTGAGATAGTAATTATGAGACTTTATATAACAGTGGAATTATCTCTTACAGTATTATGAACATTGCCCTTTTTACGTTTCTTTTCAATCTTTGGTGGACTCAAGAAATCATTATTAATTTGTTTACCAATATTGTTCCTTAAATCAGTATCTATAACAATATTATTAACACCAGTTCTGTCTTTTTGATTATATTGATCCCCTTTAACATCCTTAAAATTATTTTGTTCAATGACATTAATGCTAACAAAATTTTGATCTTTATCATACCGATTTATTCTGTTCATGTAACTTTGATTTGAAGGAGCACCGATCACTATTTCCTCATTATCTGGGGCTATTTTTGGATTATTATTTTGAAAAAACAAAGTTCTACCATTAATAATACTCCTATTATTATCAGCAGTAGCAAAATCCGAATTTGGACTTGGTAATGGAGCTAATAAATCTGATGCATGACTAAGAGGTCTGTCACTTGGAGTAGGAGATTTTAAATTATTTCTATGAGAGACGTGAGGATTTATATAAGCATGCATATAAGCAGGTTCCACAATTCTTTCTTTTGTCAATTCAACCACGATTTGTTGATGTAATGCTTCGCCTATTAAACTTGTTTGACTTAAAGGAGAATTTGGAAGATCATCATTATTTGGAGATTTAGTAAAAGAAGATTTTGATTTTGAATCTTTCTTTGATAATTTTGAAGTGGAATGTTTTTCAAAATTAGTTGGATGATCTACCAAAGTATGACATTGATAAATTAATTCATCTAAATTTGGAGTTTCATGTTTGATCACATTCATGGGTTTCGAAATTTGTCGTTTTGGAGAAGATGAGACATCAATGGGGAAATCAGGATATATGATTGAAATCAAAGAAATGTACACAAATAATCTACCGAAATTTGCAGTTATTGACAAGAAATCAGTTAGAAATTGGGAATTAACAAGGAATTGATTCTGTTGAGGGATGAACAATCTGTCGATCACTAAGAGAAGGTAGCTAATTGACCAAAGAAATAAGGACATTATTAACCAAATGTTTAAATCTTGGAAATATTTTAATTTTCCTTGGTTTTGAGAGGTGCTTCGTGAAGGGGTTTTAATCAATTTTGAAATTCCAGAATGGGTTCTTAATCCGAGTAAAAATATTAAGAATGATATGGAACTTGAAATTAGCTGAGGAAGATCTACTCTATAAGACGGATCTATATTAACGTTAAATATTAAGACCACTAGTACAGGAAATCTAATTAATAAAATTATGAAGAGTATGAATTAACAAATAGATTTAATAAATTTAAATAAATTTTATATTTTATATTTTATATTTTATATTTTATATGCAATTATTTTATAAGTATATTTTTATAAATATACTATAAGTATACATAAATTAAAGATACGTACACAGGAATTAATAAGATGGCCAGCATCAAATAAGTCCAATATTCCCAAGTACTGATGAACTGGTGCCTGGATAATTGTTCCATGAGATAATTCCAATAAGCTTGTAAGGCCAGTAAGCATGTTCTATTAATTTAAAAGTTAAATTAATATAATTAACTTACAAGTTAAATTAATATAATTAATGTGCAGTACAAATATAAATAAAAACGCGTATGTATGCAGAGGAATCAGAGAAAGTTTCTCAGAAAGTAATTAGTAGATCCACTCCTGACCTACTAGTTACACGAAACAAACAAATCAATAAAATGATTGATGCTCTTTTGTTGCACTAAAACGATTTGTTGATTTGTTTATATTGATTGTAAAGAAACATGAGAAAAAACAATTCCATGATCGAGAACGATTGCTGCGGTATAAACATTCAAAAAAAAAAACGAACCCAGAAAAAATTGAGAAAAAGAAATGCGAAACTCACATTATAAGACTTATAGATATAGCATTTAAATAGCATACGACCTCATTCAATTGTAAATCTGATGACGACCACTCAGACTGTGTCGAATTTGTAATGGGAAACACTTGTGTCGAATTCATTTCTTGAGTTCTAACATAATATATTATAATATCATTTCCCAGTTGAGTAAGCAATGACAGGATGAATGAATATGTAAAGAGGGAGCAAGGGTCTAAACGGATTAATCGGCGTATTGAAAAGGATTCCCATTGACTTATTTTCCTCGAACGTATGAGCATCCTATTGTTATAAATTTAATCAGAATTAAAATTTGAAAGGGTGAAAAAAGTCTAAGAAGGAGATAAAAAATGAATTTTTTTTTTTTTTTTACCAGACTAGAATGAATGGAATGTAACATGCTCTCGCTATAAAAAAAAAAAGTAATTAAATAAATGAATGCAATTCATTTTGCTTTATAAAAAAGTGAAAGCAATGATACATACTAAGATAACTATTATCACTATATGAAACTATTTCACTATATGAAACTATTGTCATTTCTTTTTAAAAAGGCTATTACGGTTATCATCAAGGGGATTTTAACTCTTTTCTTGAAAGATAATAACGAAAGTGACTTAAAAGATTGTTTTCAAAAAGATTGTTTTCAAAAAGATTACAAGTTATCTTTTTATATGTTGTCTCTCTTTTTTTAGTCAATAGCTAAATACGAGAGCGACGTCCAAGAAGTTATTAGTGAGAAGCAAGTAACATTAATATAATAAAAGTCAAGAGTGCGTATGTCGTCCGGCGGTTGTAGAACTAATTTTCGATGCACGTAGCAAGCGTTGTGAATTATTTATTGAGATTGGTACAGTTTTTATAAAAAAAAAAAAAAGTCATACGTATACAAATAATGTACACGCATTAGCATTAGTACCGTCATTAAATATCATTAATATATATCATTTATGTATTTTAATATGGTTTGTTTTTTTTCGTGGCTAATGGGTTACCTTACAGAGCACTTAATTGTCTAACGTATATACCTAAAGCACTTATGCAGGAAGAATACTAATTGCCGAATGGTCACAAAATATTACTTATGCAAAGTAGTACAAAACAGAAAACAAAGGGAACAAGGCATACACATACATAAATGCGTGTAGATTAAAACAATCTATAATTCCAAAATAACAAAAGGATGCTGTTCTATAGTATTTCTTGATGTTTTTGACACTATAGTTACGTTATATTGCATCCGTAAAATTAAATCGATAAAAACTAAATTCATTTCTTTCGGAGATAAATTCTTTCTATTTGCGGCTGAAATGATCGAAATGATTGAAAAAAAATGATATATATTATTGGTAAAATAATTTATCAGTGCGTATTATTTCTGTCCAAATTCCCATATTAGTACGTTAGTGGCGTTAATATGTAGAACAATACGTATAAGATAATTTCAATTATAAATATGTACATACATGATTATTTTTTTTTCGCTTATAAATAATCAATGTTCTACTTAGTCTTGTTGCTGCTTGTTGCTACTACATAATAAAGATTTTAATAAAGATTTCCGAGGATGATATTAAAGAATTCGATCGCCTAATGCATATTTCTTGTTAATGCAATACACCATAATTATTTATCCCTGAATAGATTAATTATGTAATTATGTAATTTTCCTGATCTCAATGAATCGGTCGATTATGTACGTATTTGTATTAGGCCATCCAAAAAGTTCTTTACTTATCCGATAGTCTTTTTTTTTTTTGGTATATTAACCTTACAAAAACCTAGATCGTTATTATATTAGTGTTAGTGTCTCCAGATAACATGAAGACATTCAATTATTAAAATCGTTAAGATCATTGTCACATGCAATATGTGGCTTAGAAACAGAATCATAATAGGACCAACAGTTCGATAAACCTCGAAATGTTGTTAGTTCTCTTTTTAGAATATTATCCTGGTTTCATTTTCTCCTAGGTTGTGTTAATGCTGTACTGCCGCAGATCGGCCGCGTAGACGGCCGATCTGCGGCAGTACAGATTATATTAAACACAACCTAAAAAGATTTCCTAAATAAAAGTTAACGTCATTTAAAAAATGTAACTTTAACGATTTTAATCAACATGGAGTTTTTTTTTATCATTTCAATTGTTGGTTTACAAGCGAAATATTCAACTATTGCAAAGGTGCCAATCCTTTTTAACGGAAGGATAAATGAGATCGTTTAATTTCGCGTGATAAACTAAAAGGCACTTGTATTGAGTATTAAATCTGTTACTTATGCGTATTGTTTTCGCGAAAAATAGTTAGTCATTATATTTGAATGCATACAACTTAAATACAGAAATATTAAATCGATATACCAAATCCACTAATACTTGTTATACAAAATGCAAGCTATACATAGGTGTTATTTTTGAATAAATTTGTGTTTTAAAAATTATTCAATTTTCAGAAATAATGCAGACCATGATCAAGTTTTTTAATCGAACATTCATTGATTATGTAAAAAAATTAAATATATATGTATATAATACTCTGAATTTATATTGTTGAAACGTGTAGAAAGCACCTAGAACATCCAAGAATGTATAAATGCTTAACAATCTGATTTGATAATTCATCGATGCGAGTTAATGACAATTGATGCTCGCACGTACATACGTATATATTCGTCATATGTGATATTTTATTTTAAGACAAAATGAAACCTGAGTTGATTGTTATTATCAATGTTGACACGGAAAGGGTGAAACACGATTTTTTAGGATACCTTTTTGACATGGATTTATATTTAATAGATCAAATACTGTTAAGGTAGGATATGCATCAATAACGTAACCATCTTTGACGCACGTTTCACCCTGTCGTTTTATTTTTACATTATTTTGCTTTTCATTTTCCATATTCGCTATTATTGGTGTCACGAAAGTTCACACTTATGAAAAAATTTCGTTCATGATTAATTAAGTACGTATGTACATGAAATAGCGATAGTTTTGGTAATAATTTCACAAGATCCGTTGTGGCTGAACGATAAAATTTCTTAAAATCAAAACATTGATTTTAATAAAAAAAAAGATTGAACTTAATTAATCTGATTTCGATGTAAGTAAATTTTCTTTCATTACTATGTTACCTTGACTAATTGCCTTGAAACTTCTTTATTAAAAAGTAAGAAAACTTATGAAACTGATGTTTAAATCTGTCTTCTGTCTTTGAACGTTAATACGTACAGTAATATCGAGAAAATAGATTTTCAATCTTAATACAACTTATAGCACGTCACATAGATATTAATTAAGCAGTGGCTGCAAAAAAGATCTGAAATAATTGTTACATTATGCATTCTATAAGTCGAGAATAGCTGGTCCAATTTCGATTATTCTGTACTTAAATGAATGCTACAGACGGTTGGATTCGCTTGAACTTAAGGATGATAGAAAATGGTTCATCCAATGTAATAATTGAACTGAGAAAAATATTCTCAATTGGTTAACCAAACTGAGTTATTTTATATCAACTGATTATAACCAGTTGGGATTAATAATTTCTACCTCTCGTTCTTACCTCAGAAATTTTCAAAATTTCATTCGAATTTTTGTTTTAATCTTGCTCACCTCTTATGTTCATTCAGTTTCTTTTCAGACCTTTTCAGAATCTTTGTTCTCTCTTAATCATTTACATACTTTATCAATCCTATCAACTTGTTACCTGATTCTTGACCAAGTTGTACCAATGTCAACCGATTAAGAATTTGCTCAACCGGTTATCCGAAATTTATTCGGATTGGGTCAGTTAACCGATTATAGCCCAACCGGTTATCCGAAATTTATTTGGATTGGGTCAGTTAACCGATTATAGCCCAACCGGTTATCCGAAATTTATTCGGATTGGGTCAGTTAACCGATTATAGCCCAACCGGTTCAAATCACTAGTCCAATGTGCCCAACACTGGTTGTCTATACTTTTTATATACTTTTAATGGCTTTCACTAACCTAGTTATACAATTTTGTTTAAATAAGCTATATAATTAATAATTTTATTTGTACATCCAACGCTCAAGATAACGAAATTTTGCATAGAGAAGAATATTTCTATATAGCGAAGGCATAAGGTCAGAATGCGGACTTCGCAATATTGAGATTAACTGTAGTAGAATTTATACATTTTTGCTTATTTGAAATACTTCATAATCATCTATTGGAAAGTTACCATATGTGTTTCTAATTGGGGGTTGATAAGAATTGCCATCACTACTATAATAACATGTTTTAAGGCCATAGAAATCATAAAATCCAAAATAATAAAAGTATGGACCATAAGTTGAACCATAATAAATTGCATTTGATTGTTTATTTGTGCGACTAAGAATAGATTCTTTCATATTTTCATTTTTTAAAGAAAAAATAAAGCTACCAGGTGCTGTGGTATATCCATTATTTGTAGATTCCCAGCCATGAGGATTATATCCACCAAGTATTTCATTTGAATTTTCAACCTTTATAACAACTATTAGGCCAGGTATATTGTCACATAATTCATGAAATTTTTTGGCGCCGAATCCATCTCTACTACCTCTAAGTAACAGTTTGAACTCATATGGAATTTCTGTAGTATCATAAGTTGCTGAACGTCGATCAATCCAAGATGAAATTTCTGCTGCATGCTCTAAATTGATTATTGATGAAGGTATAGATATTGATTTTCGAGGAGGAAGTTGAGTTGTCAATTTCTTACGAGAAGGTAAAATTGTAGAAGTAATAGGATCATTTGGAGACAAAAAATTTGCCACAATATCATTCCACAAATTTTTTTCAAGAATTTTTTTATAAGGTCGAACTTTTTTTAAAACTTCTTCACCAGGAATTTGAAAATACCTAATATGAGGTAAACAATTTTGAAGTGTAATTTTTAAAGATTTGAAATTTTCCTTATTCCATTGCTCATAATTAGAAGGTAAATTTGGTGTATGAGCTTTTCCCCACAAAATAACTTTATCCCAAATCACAGATTCTTCCAATTGTAAATCATCATGTTTTAAGAGAGAAATCAAAGCATTCTCTTGAAGTGTAGTAAAATCATCAGAATCAAAAACCAAATTTGGGTGTTTTATAATAATATCATTACAAAATTGCTGTAAAGCTTTAAAATTTTCATTTTGAAAACTAATCTGGTAAACACGAGAAAAATTCAAACGAAGCCAAGATGCATTATCTTCAATAAGGTGAGTTTGAAGACAATCAACAGATTCTAAAAAGTTAAATTCATTGAAAGCAATCAAGAGATCAAGTATACCAGAAGCGTCAAGATTTTCTAAAGACACTACACCACCATAAATATATCTACAATATATATAATGTGAAACTATTAACTTTATTTACTTATAATTAAGCTTTTATAATTATTACAAATTCAAATAACTTACTTGATAATAATATTAAATATTTTAACAGAAATATCGGGTAATTTAATATTAAAGATAGCATTTCCTTTAATTGTATTTGTTAATTTTTGTTTAAAGTAAGAAGAGCGTTGATATAAGATTGCAGAATGTACTTTGAAAAGTTGGGTATCTGGCTGTTCACCAACTTCGATAATTGTATCATAATTATATTCACTTTCAAGAAGGTTGGTAAAATCTTGCGAAAGTTTGTCATAAAATGTCAACATTTGGAAACCTGATCGACGGGTGTGCATTTGGCAATTTAAATCTAATACACAGCCAATCAACATCAATTATATATACTATTAGTGTGATTTCAAATTCACTATAATAGATTCATGTCTAAAGACAATTAGTTTTAGTGTTTGAAATTTCATCACATCTGAGCTTTCATATTTCACGGTATAAATCATGTGATTTGTGCAAAGTCAATTAGCTTAATAAAATATACACATAAAAGTCACTCTATTATTTGCGACTAATTCATTAAGTAATAAATAATTTTTTAATCAATTTTTTGCAACCAATCAATTAATTCTTTAGTTGATTAGTTGCAACTAATCGATTAGTTGTTAACAGTGATTTTTTTAAGATCACATGATGGATCTATAGGGACGTTCTTTACTACTCAATTTTTAACAATTGAATAAAAAAAAATATTAGTTATTATCATTTTTAATAATTAGAATATTGTCTTAAATAATAAAATAACATGAAGAATATAATTAATTATTAGAATACAAATGAAATATTTTTTTTTTTTAAAATATTAACGGTGAGGCCATGCTTTTAACTTTATTGAAATTCAATTGAAGTTTTTACAAAGAAAAGCTTGCTTTTAAATTATACAAATGAAATATTATATCTAAAGGTATTTAATTCATCAATATGAATATACATAATATCATTTTAAAAATATTAAAATGATATTATAAAATATATAAATTGTTCAAACATACAAACATTAACTAATATATCAGTATAATATAATTTAAAATGATACAAAAAAATTTATTAATAGGTTATTATTATATCTTTTTATAATTTATTTTTTTCTTTATTTAAACTAATAAATATATAAGTATATCTGGATTCTTTATTGCAACTTTTATTTTAAACAATCTCAAACTACAATTCTTACTAACCTATCATAAAGCTCTTCTTTTATTCATATATTACCTCCTATTTTAATCTCTGAAATTACTACTAAAATAGACCTTTGGACTATTTAATAAATCAAATATTATATCACTTCTTATATATTTTTATTTATACTCAAATTTAGGTAACTCTTATAGGTTTAAATTACAAATTATATATTTAAGTTTTTATTCTTTATATGTAATTTAAAAGCATTTTTTTTTTATAAAAACTTTAATTTCATAAAGTTAAAGATATGGACTTATTATTATATTTAAAAAAATTTTTTTAAATATTAAAGTAAATATTTGTAATCTAAAATTTTATTAATAGTATGTTTCAATTAATAGTTATATTAAAATTACAATAGACAACTATATAAAGAGTATACAACTAGTTATTTATATAACTTTAGTTATTATTTAATTTAGATAGTTTATTTAAAAGTTTTATACTAGTTGTTATATTTAGAATCTACTTGTAAATCTTTTATTTAAATATTCTAGTTTCTATATTTACTTATTTATCTAATCTATTAATTATTTTAGTTATTATTAATACAAATATATTATAGTTATAAAGTCTTTAAAACAGTTTATTTATATAAAAAACCTTTAATGTTATATTAAACTTATCAGAACTTTTTATATTTTATACTTATAGTTAACTTGGTATTGCAATAACTAAGATTAATACTTACAGTTAGAACTAACTATTAAACTATTATACTTTTGTAAAATTTATTTAAACTCTAGTACCTAGCTATTTTGATATTATTTTTATTATTTATTACTAATTATAATTTAAAACTAATAATTTAAATAATCTAATGCAATATTTTTTTTAGTGATTGTGACAACTGGATTGATTATATATATATTTATATATTTTGTTAATTAATTTATCTAATTTTTTCTTTTAAAAAAATAGTTTATAAGTTTTTATTAGTTCAATAGTACTATTAAAAATTTATATTATATCTTTATTTGAGAATTTCTAAGTAGACTTTTATTTTTTCAGTTTTTTAATTTTTTGTATCTGATGGTTTTATTATAAGTTTGTATTAAAGTTTTATATAATATTAGTTTTAATATTTTTTATCTAGAATGTGGTAATCTAGTGAAGTGAACAGGTTGTTAAATTCTGAGTCCCAAGTCTAGAGTTCAAATTATACAGATGATGAATTTTGAAATTTATATCTGTATTATAGTAATTGTTTTTGTCGATTAGTTGAATTAGTATATCTGTAATTTTAAGTTGCACTATCTTGAATGGAAGCTTGAAGCATCTATATAAAGTATAATATTATACCTATATAGAGGAATATTAATAAACAGTGTTATATAAGACTTTAGGCAAACTCACAATAAAATCACTTGGTGCAGAAAGCAAAGAAACTGAAAAGTTAAAAACTTACCTGAAAATTCTGAGTAAGAAGATAGTACAAAACTTTTGACAGTGCTATTAAACTAATAAAAGCCTATAAAATACTTCTAAAAGGATAGGTAGATAAACTGGATAGCAAGATATATAGAAAAGCATATGATCAATCAGACTGCCAAAATTACTAAAAAAATATATATATATATATTAAGATATACTATACTGAGCTATCTGGATTGAAAGTCTGAAAAGTTTTGTTGGTCCTGAGTAGCAATTAGTAGGAAACAATAAAGAAAATATTAGAAAGATGGGTACTGGGGTTTTGAGTGAACTTTATAAGAGTATAGTAGTTTAATAGTTAGCTTTGATTGCAAATAATGGTTTAGACCAAAGCAATATCAAATTAGCTGTAAGTATGAGATACAGAAACTCTGATAAGTTTTAGTACAAAGTTAAATATGACTTAGTGGCTATGGCATATCTTTATCAATTTATTAGAGTTGTTAATAGAGTGTGTTAAATACAGGATTAGGGTGTTTAAATAGAGAACCTATAGGTTAGTCCTAGATATAGCAACTAGTGTAAAACTTTTAGGCAAACTACTTAAATTAGGCAATAACTAAAGTTGTATACTCTTTTTATAATTGCTTCTGTGCTGTCATGTTAACAGATACTTGCCAATATATACTACTAATAAAATCCTAAGTCATATGTACTCATCTTAACATCTAAAAAATATATATATATTTCTTTATATATATATAATATTATATTTTATATAAATATTCTAAGCTTTTAATAATAAGTAGAATTTAACTTAGTATATCTAAGATTACAAACATATAAATTAAACTAATTAATAAGACAGTTACTATTAAAGTTTTGCAATTTAATTTGATTTAATTTGATTTGATCAAATATTTAAATTTAAATCAAATTCAAATCTGAAATTTTTAAATTAAATTAAATTTAAATATAATCAAAATTGATTTAATTTGACAAATATTTGATTTAATTTAAAATTTTATAATTGAATATTCAAAATTATAAGCTATTTATTTGAAATATTATTAAAACAATCAATCTTTTTGTTTTATAAAACTACAAGTATTTTGTTTAGAAGAATATTTACTTAAAAGCTTAAAATTAATTAATATAATAACATTTTTTATAAATTAAGTTTTTTCTTTATCAATTAAAATTTTAAATTTTTTTAAAAATTAAATCAAATTTAAATATTTAAAGATATATTTAATTTGATTAAATTTAAATTATCATAATATTTAATTTAATTTAGATTTGAAAAACTCTAATTATTATAATAAAAATTGATTTTTTATATTTTTATTATTTATAGAATTTAAATATTAGATCTCACTTGAAAATTGATAATTTGTCTATTTTACTAAATTATTATATTTTCTTTTTTTTGATATTAAAGTAATCTCTTTAGTCTTTTGACTTTTATTAATAACTTTTTTAGTAATATGATTCTATAAACTACTACAAAGTGTGTACAATTGGCTACATATATAACTTTTCTATATTACTTATTTAAAGAGTTTGTCTAAAGGTTTTCTACTAATTGTTATATCTAACATTTTTGCTTAAATGTTCTACTTTAAATGCTCTAAATTTGCAGACTGTGTTTATATTACTAGGTTATATCTAGATATTCAGATTATTGTCTTAACCTTAGAACTATTTTATCTTTAAGATAAACTTTCTAGAGCCTTCTGTACTCATTTTTATAGCTGACTAGATATTACTATAGCAGAACTAATATTTGCAGTTAGAGTTATATTATTTAACTACTATGCTCTTATAAAGTTTATTTGAACTTTAGTATCTATTTTATAGCATAACTCCAGTACTTCAGTATACTTCTATCTTTTATCCAAACTTTCAATTCAAATAGCTTGTATAAAACTATGACCAGTTTATTAATATATTAAATTAGTTTGATATCTTTTTCTTCTGGTTCATTCTAATGGTCTGGTTGATAGTACTTCTAAGCCTTTTCTAATTTAGAGATTCTTGCCTATCTGAGTATTATAACCTTGGTATCCATTTTCTTGACCTAGTCTTTATAGTAACATCATTAAAGATTTGGCTATCTTTCTATTTAGATCTTTCTAAATGAACTTTTTGTTACCTAATTTCAACAAATTTACATGGCTATAAGAACTTATCTAGTATTTACATTATTCAATTGTTAGTTTGCATTCTTCTATATAACTACACAGATATTTTATAACCTGCCAGTTATGCTAGTATAACTGTTATCACAAATATCTTAATCTAATTCTTAGTAACAATTGCTATAATATAAATATTACATAGGTAATTATTCAAATTTTTGCAGTTAATAAAATTTGAATACCCAACCTATCACTTGAAAGATTGACAATCTAACTACTTTACTAGATTGCCATACCTCTATTATTATATTTTCTTATAATTTATTTAATTAATAAGATATTATTAAAATATCTATATATAATATAGATTAAAATTGATAAACAATATAAGACAAATAGAGGTGTAGTAATTTAGTAAAAACAGTAACTGACTCTGTTAATTAGTTGGATTGGGTGAATCTGTAACCTTCAGTTACATCATCTTGAATAGGAGCCTAGAGCATTTATGCAAAATGTAATATTATATATATATAAAGAAATATTTAATTAGTATTGTATAAGACTTTAGTGCAAACTCATGATAAAACCATTGAGTGCAGAAAGCAAAGAAACTGTGGAGTAAGAAGCCCACTTGGAAATCTTAAGCAAGAAGGTAGCACAAACTTTTAATAGTACTATTAAACTGATTAAAGTCTATGAAACACCTTCAGTAAGAATAAGCAAATAAATCAAATAATAAGATATATAGAGGAGCATATGACCAACTAGGCTGCTGAAATTACTGAAAAAAAAGGATACTAAGATATATCATACTTTGCCATCTGAATTGGAAGTTTGGAGAGTTTTGTTAGTTCTTAGCTATGGTTAGTAGAAAATAATAAAGAAGATATCAGAAAGATGAATATTAGAATTTGGGTAAACTTTACAAAAATATAGCAGTTTAATGGTTAGCCCTAATTGCAAATAATGGTTTAGGCCAAAATAATACTGAGTTAGCTGTAAGTATAAAATACAGAAGGCTCTGATAGGTTTAATACAAAGTTAAACATAATTTAGTAAGTTTATCAGTATTATTGATAGGATAAATAAATATAGCATTAGAGTATTTAAATAAAGAATCTACAAGTAAGTCTTAGATATAGCAACTAGTATAGAACCTTTGGGCAGACTACTTAAATTAGACAATAACTAAAGTTGTACAAGTGGCTAATTGTATACTTTTTTTATAATTGCCTTTGTGTTTGTTATATTAACAGATGCTAACTAATATATACTATTAATAAACTTCTAGATTGCATATACTCATTTTAACATTAAAAAAAAACAATATAAGACAAATATTATAAAATAAATACTGAAATAAAAATAAAATCTGTTTGATCAGTTTTATTTATATAATATAGATCATAATGCATTATTATTAATAATATTATATCTGGTACTAATTGAAACTTTTGTGTAATTATTATTATATATTATTATTAAATATATATAATTTTTTTTTACATTTTTAGATATATATAAATTTTATTTCATAAAATTTTTAATAAATATGGTTTATTTTAACTATTTTTTTAGTAAAAAAATATATACTTATTTGTTAAATAATTTATATAAAATAATACTTTAAACTAAAGCAATATGGCAGATTATATGTTAGTTATAAAAATATTATCTTTATATCTTCTTTATAATTATTTTTAATGTAAAGAATTAGATTAATAATAGACAAACTCAATCACAGAGTGGAAAACATTCTATCATGCATTTAATCTAGAAAATGTTAAAAATATAAGAGAACAAATTAATGACAATATAGCCAAAAGATGCACTAAACTTCAAAATAGTCCAACATCAATGATCAATAGTATACTTAACTGACACAAAGATCCTGTTAAGTTCAACAACATTAAGGAATCAAACAACATTATCACTGAACCATCACTTATTAAACAACATATTCAACAATACTTCGATGACTGGACAGCTCCTAAAAACATCCAACTACAATTATTCAACACAATGTGGCAGCAAGAATATCGACCTAAACTAAACATTGATCCTACATGGTATCAACCAGCACTTAAGAAATTCTCTTCTATAGAAGTTCTTGAAGTTATTAATCAACTTCCTAATAACAAAGCATGTGGATCATTAGGCATTAGCTATAAGATGATCAAACATGCTAGAACAGTATTTCTTAATACAATTATAGCTCTTTTTAATTGCTGTCTTATATCTGATCAAATTCCAAACTAATAGAAAGAAGAAAGAATCTTTCCCATCTTTAAAAAACCTATCTTGATGGCAACTTAACTAATATCAGATCTATTAGTTTACTTGAACATATTAAAAAACTCTATACTAAACTTCTTATCAACCAACTTAACCATATCTTTACCCATTACAAAATTTTGTCACTTTTTAACTATATAGCTTTACCTGATAACAGTATAGCTATTCTTATACATATACTTAATAACATTATTGAAGAAGCTTCCTGTAACTCCAAACAACTTTGGCTCTTATCTTAGAACATAAGCAAAGCTTATGATTCTGTAGACCTTACACTCTTTACCAAATCTTTATTACATTTACATATGCCATCTAATCTTATCAATATTCTTACTAATTTGCCTACCAATTGACAAAACCAAGTTATTACAATTTTAGGTCTTACCAACTCTTACAATATTAAAAATAACATTGATTAAGAAGAAACTATAACCTTATTGTTTTGAAGAATTTATTATGACCCTCTTATAAAAAAATAGCTTCAAACTTTTCAAAATACACTTTGGCCACAAAGTAGAATACTAGTTTGCTCTAACCAAAACCTTAACAACTTCAAACCTCAATATCTGTATTAGCATATATGGATGACACACTTTGGATAGCAAAATCTAAAGAAGAATTACAATCAATTATTGCTACAACTACCTTCTTTTATTATATGGCAGACATTCAAATTAATCAAACTAAATCAATTCTTACATCAAACATATCATTTACAGCTCTTATCCACTTTTTTAGCTTATCACTTACACTAATTTCTGCCAACCAACTATTCAAATTTTTAGAATGTTGGTTTACTTTTAATAATTCATATATAAAACAAAGCCAACTAATTTATGATAAAGCAATCCAGCTCATCAATGTTACTGGCACAAAAAGAATTACAGACATACAAGCTATCTATATTACTAATACTGTAATCATTTCTACTATTGAATACAGATTACACAACATTATTTTTAAACACTTCAATTGTGATAGCATTTTATCCAAATATCTTACTATGATCAAACATAAAGCTAAACTTTCTTATACCAGTCCTAATAGCACTATGCTTAACCCCTATATATATAATGTATATAATATCTGAGATATCCAACTACAATATTATATATCCTGCTTTTAACAAAAAATTAATAACTCTGTGATTCTTGGTATTTCTACCAAAATCCATTTACAACAACTTCAAAACAACTTTTGGTCTGCTATTAACATTCTTTAGCATAGCCAACTACTTATAGATGGACCTAACAAACTTACACTTAATTTCAAAATCATACAACTTCTACAACATCTTGGCATATCAATTTTGCCAACTCTAATTTTCTGTGGTCTAATACTTTTCATAATGGATATCAACTACTAGAACTGATACTCAGTCAATATCCCAAATATTATACTTTCAGAAAACAACTTCAAAAAAACAATATACTTTACTTAGAGCAATTAAGTACTACAGACAATAGTACATTACTTAAATGGCATCATCTTTCACCAAAACTCCACAATCTAACAAAAGAAAGGCAACCTCTTTGGTTTATTTATCTAGAAGATACAATCTTATCTGACAGACTACATCGCCTAATCCTTCCTCATTTTCAACCTTCAGAAGTTAATGCTATTGCATATAATATTTTACCAATCAAGAAAAAACTTAAACCTTGACTACTTACCTACAATAATGATAATGAAGAGATCATTATTAGCAAAATTTGCAAATATTTTTCTAACACAAACCAGTTTTCTATCTTACATTGGAATATGAATATTGATTTAGAACATAATTGCTGATATTATTCAATTATAGTACTAAGCAATAATTAATGTATAACTTAACAATTTACAATTTATATAGTATAATTGAAGTACATATGTACTATATGCTAAAACATATTGTATAAGTTATAAAATCAAATTATAAATGTAATTAAATATGAAGTTATGTAGTAATGTTTTATAATAATTTTAACATTATTTGCATATTGTTGCTTTATTCAACACTAATTCTAATTACATCTAATATAAGACTTGCATAAAAGTTGGTCATTTAATTTTTTTGGTACATGTCAAAGGAGTTAATAAATCCTTGCAGACTTAAAACCAAGCAACAGTTGTATTAATTTATTGATTTATTTGCAATTGCACTCACTCATCACACTACTTTAATCTTTGCTTCCTCTTTGTCATTTCCTTTATAATGTCTTCTCTATTACTTAATTAGCAAATCACATATTATTACTTAAGATACAAGTTTACTGCAAGAAAATCAAAGTTTAAGTTCGATCACTAGAATTGAACCTCCAATTTATTGAATTTTGGTTATATAAAATTACATCATTTGTCTTACATCACACTGCAATAAACTTTAAATTACTAATATAATTAGTAATAAACTTTTTATATATATTATAGTGTTATACAACCTTATTGCTATACATAATTATGTTAAAGTTTATCTTGGCAGATCATTTTGCAGTTTTATGAAGGACTGTGAAACTATGTGCAACCAATTATATTCAGACAGTACATGCAAAATGCATTAATGAAAATTTATAATCCTTTCAAACACTTGCAAAAGTTATAAAATCATAACTTTGTTTTTAAATATTTGATTTTATGTTAACTCTAATAATAGTATTACAAAAAACTTTGAATAAAGCCAATAAACACATTACAAGAAACTTTGAATAGAGCCAATAAACAATATTTCCATCATGATTATAATTTTGTTATGATTAATATTCAAAAAAAAATCCTATTATGATTATTCTGAGATTCTACTATTGCTTATAAGTATGTTACATTTAGATTGTTACTATATGATATATATAATATATAATTAGCATGATATACAGCTAATTAATAATATATAGCAATAAATGCATAACTGAAATTATTAAATTATTTATCTTGTAAAGGCAACTTCTAGAGTTATATCCTGTTTTGTTACAAATACTACATATATATGTCTTTTTGATAGAATGTTCAGCACCAGTTTTTTTATGTTTTGTATTACTTTGTCTTTCTTTTGTCTTAATATTTGTAGGATCACCAATATTAGCTTGTTGTAAGAGATATTAGTTATTTAACTTCTTAATGAAAAGAGAGAGACAATTGTTAATTTCAACATGACTGATCCTATTGGCAATCACTTTAATTTTTTTAATTAAATTAGCTATACTTTTAAATATTGATTGTTTGCTAATTTGAATTTCACAAGTATCATAGTTTGAAGAAGAAAATACAGTAGTTGAAGAGTTTTCATTATTATTAATATTATATGGCTTTTTAGGTTGTATTATATTATTTGTGTCTGTTGCTAAGATAATCTAACAAGTGCCAATATAATTAACTCCTAGAGATTCTTTACAAGTAAGTTAAACAGCAATAATATAACAGCAGTGTAAAGAAAATTGTAAACCATAATCATAATGGCATACTAATTTTATCTCAGTACAATATACTATATGATTATGATTTTTATTAAAAACTTTAAATAAACTAATGTCCTGTTTCTTAATACTATAAAGCATAGCACTATTATATTGAGCAAGTAACAAGAAATATACAAAATCTAATATAACTATTAAAACATTTTTTAATAATTCTGAGTATTGTTAATGGATGCTTTCATATAAATAATATTGCTAATATTAGAATCATTCAAGTTGATTATGAGATAACTTTTTTAACATATTAATTAATTCAGAGAAGGGCACCATATGACCAAACAGACATTTTAAATAAGCATTACTAGCTTCTGAGCATTGTGTTGTTCTAATACCATAGTTAAAATTTTTATTAATATAACAGTATGCCTACATATGAGAAATAGACTTCCATTGTTCTATATAACTATTAACTTCAGGATATTTTTTTAACAGACAATCTCAGCAAATAGTAAATTGATCTTTAACAGTTTCTGTTATAACTAATTTAAAATCCTTACTAAATGCTAAAAATTTATTACTAAGCTTGCTAGTTAAATTCTTAACAATGTTTTGTTCTATATGCCAGATACAAAGTTGGTGCTTAACATATGGAAGTTCAGTTCTAATTGCAGAAAGCACAGCAAGATCTCTATTAGTTAAAATTGTTTACACTCTGTTAATAACATTATCACCTACTACTTTTTTTAGTTATCGAAGTATTCAGCTATAAGTCAGAATAGTTTCATTAGCAAGAAGCCCACTTGCTATAAGAAATATAATTCCTATTGCATCAACTTTACTAATAAGTAAAAGTGGCATTCTAAAATGATTAGTTTTATAAGTAGCATTCATCAATATGATTTTTGAATAACATTTAAATATTGTAAGTGCAAATTAAGTAGCAAAAAATAAGCAGTGAAGCTTATTATTATTAACTGAATAAGTAATTTTATATTCACTATTGTTATATAAATAGGTTAAAAGTTCAGATATTTGTGATAAACCCTTAATACAGTTACATGAACAGGGATTTAAAAAATTGTAAACATCTTTGTTATGAATATATCTACTATACTGTTCATTTAATATTCTAATAATTGTTGGAACTGGTACACTACTGTTAAATAGTATATTTACTTGATCCTTTTTATTATGACTTAATTTGTAATGTTCAGGATCAAATGAAGTTACTGCAGTATCTATAGGATGGTTATGTTTAGGATTGTGGATCTTACATGATATTTATTATTAATCCAATAAACTACTATTTTAAATAGACAACCAATTGCAATGCTCTTTGTAGTTCTCAATCCAGTACTTGTTTTTTTTGCAATATTAGCATAATAACAAACAATGTCTGCTCTAATAATAATGTTTAGGCTTTTCTCTGAATGGTCCAATCTTGTTGCAAAACCTTGTGATATAATATAAGCTTTAATGTATTGTTCAACATTGCACTAACTAGTAAAAGTTTTTTCAACTTTAATTAATGGTACTAAATTGTTGTTAAGTGAAAATGTTTTTTGATACATTATTAATATCAAGATTTAAATAAAGACTCTCATCAGAATTGACAATTATGCTTATATCAATATTATTATTATAATAATTGTAAAGTTTATTTGTATTATTATTAAGTTTGATAATATTAAGCATATTATTATAGATTGTATCAGAATTTGAACATGATAAAGAGCCTATTATTAGGTTAAGATTATTTGTATAAAAACAAGTTTCAAAATTTCATAACAATCATGTTTAAAACATATATTATTCATTATATTTAAACTCTATTCTAAATTTGGTACATATTAATTAAAAAATTTGTTGAATTTAAACTTCTATATATGCTGCTTAAAAGGTTTATTATATTTAAATCTCTATATATACTGCTTGAAAGGTTTGTTATATTAAACTCTTGGTATATATTACTTAAAAGATTTGTTGTATTTAAACAGTTTTTATATACTTTAGCATACATTACTTTAAATATTATTCTATTTAAACTCTTAATATCTATTACTTAAAATAACTTAAAATGTTACATTTAAACTTAATGCATGTATGTGTTTATAAAATTTGTCATATTTATTCAAATTGAAGTACAAAAATTTAGTATATACATATTTACTTAAAATATTCATCAGATTTAAGCTTGACATGGATTTAGTATGTACAAATTATATTACATACATATTTGTTATACTTTAAAGAAATATTTGTATTTACATGAAATAAAAAATAAGTTCATCAAAGTTTTGTAATATTTTAGTAAAATACTCTACTTGTTTTTGAAATGTTGATATAGCTAAATTGATAATTATGATAAGATGTATAATCTAAACAAATACTAGTATTATATATACTATAATAGAATTGATGTATATAGTACAAGAAAATGCTCATAAACTGGTCTTGTAAAACATTAGAAGTGAATTATTGACCTCTATAAAATGAAGAATCTAGAACTTATAATTTTTCAAATAAAATAATATACATGAACAATGTATACTCAATTGCAACTATTTTATACATATTACTGAAACTTTAAAATAAGCTTCTGCTAAATTTAGCATATCTTCAATGAGTTATATATTTGGTTTTATCTATATAAGGTAATTGAGATTTTAGATTGCACTGTACGTATATATGATTTAATATTATAATATGTACTAAAGTAGATATATTAGTTTTATAAAAAAATTACTGATGTAACTGTATAATTTTATTAGCTCTTAAAGTAACACAAATCATGTGATTACATCATGATTGCATACAATTTTTTACTAATTTGATTGGTTGTCAGGTTGCGCTGGTCATATAGTTAATGTTACAGTGACTTGATATCATATGACAGATGATTTCATCTGGGTGAAAATAGAAATTCCCTATTGTATATTTATAATAAAATATAAATTAGTTTATCATGTGACAAATTCGAATTTGTCACTTTGTAAACTGATTTATGAAGTGATAAATTCAAATTTGTTATATAATAAACTAATTTATATTTTATTATAAATATACAATATATGCTTATCTAATTTTTTTTATACTAAGTTAACAGTCTAAGTTGATTAATTAAAAGTTATAGAGCTTATAAAAATACATCTAATAATAGTTATATTATCTAAATTAGATTAGTAGATATTAAGATATCATTAAAAATGATTAGCTAATTATATATATATATAAATAATAATTTGTTTATATAAAATTTTATATAATTAGTTAATTATTTTTAATGATATCTCAGTATCTACTAAACCAATTTAGATATTTTAATTATCATTAGATGTATTTTAATGAGCTCTACAACTTTTAATTAATTAACTTGAATTATTTACTTAATATAAAAAAAAGTTATAAATAAATATATATTGTATTTTTGTTTATAATAAAAAATATAGAAAATTTACATCATATTATATTAAAATTATTCTTTAAATAATTAACAGATTATTAATTAATAAAAAAATATTAAAATATATTATATTAAAATTTTATATACAATTTATAAATAATAACAGTAATATATTAAACTCAAATTAGTTTAAAAACTTTAAATTAGAATTAAAATATTAATTATATAAAACAAATTAAACCAATTTGAGTCAGCTTGAGCTGGCTTTAGCAGCTTTTTTAAGCTAAACTAAGCCAAGCCAGCTATTTCTAACTCTATTTCAAACATATTACATTTAACAAAGTAAACATTATCAAAGTTATTAAAGAAACTAATTCTTCTAAACATCTTCAACTCTATAATCATTATAAAGAAATCCTATTTTTTAAAAATTATATTAATACAGATGTATTAATATATTTTTTCAAAACTACTTGTCTAAATATCCTAACAATACAATTTAAAACCTAATAACTACTCTTTCTTATCTTAAAAATAAACTTTATTTGACTAAAACTGCTCTTAATTATCATCAAAATCAAATTATTTATAATGAAATTAAACAAAAAATTGATAATTAAAAGAAAGTTTCTCTGAAACTTTTAAACTTTTTTATAAAAATATTCTCAAAAAATATAATAATATACACTATGAGCTGTAAAATTGGGCACAGTTTCATATAATTAATCATCAAATTAGATCCTATTACCTATATAAGTAATTGGTTATATGAAAAGTAAGAGAAAACTTATTTTTCTTACTTTTATTACTTTAGTTACTTCAGGTAGAACAATGGTATAGGGGGCATTAGGTTTTTATTATTATAGTTGAAAAAGAGATTTTAGAGATAAAGTATTGTAAATAGATAATATAGAGAAAATAATCCTCAAATGTAAATAAAAGTTTTATTATAAATAAAGCACTTTCTGTCTAGGAAGATAGTAACAAGTAATATCCCCAAGTAACTACAATTGCTTAAATAAACTTACAGTATTGGACCCATATTACAAGTAAAACCATAATTCTATTTAAACTAAAACTATCGTTAAAAACACTATAATCAACTATCATTTGCCCATTATTAAATTACTAAACTGCCTTTAAATCATTTATTGTAAATTACATGACTAAGCCATTAACACAAGAGAAGGACTCCAAACCTGATTTGATGTATTGTAATCTTAGGTTAAGGAAGTAGAAAGAAGATAAGATCAAGCAAGTATAATAGAAGAATAGATTGAAAAAAAGACTTAAAAAAGAAGAAAATTAGGCTTATCTACAGATAAACTATTCTGCCAAATTTAATATGCCTATTTTGACTTAGCTGCCATAGGTTATATGAATATCAGAAGAAATTAGCAACAGACTCACTGATTTGCTATACAACAACACATTAACAGACTATTAACTAATAACTTATATTTAATTAAATATAATAAAATACTCAATATAATTCATTCTTATTTTACTACTTACTTTGAATCAAAACCTTTTAAAACTATTTCATCAACTAATGAATATTCTAATCTTTATAAATCACATCCTAAACTTGAAAGCTATTACCAAAATCTTATTCAAGAAATTATATAACAAAAATAACAAAAAAGTATTTCTAATCTTCCAAATCAAAAAGCTATTAGCCTTTCTGAAATTTGTTATAAACATATTAAATATACAAGTTTTAAAACACAAAACCTTTTTATACTTTTTTTAAACAAATGTTTTTAATTTCAAAAAGTTCCTATAAAATAAAAATTCTCTAATATTTTTCTCATTTCTAAAAAATCAAATTGGAACTATACATTTACTCAAGTATGACCTATATCTATTATTGAACCTTTTAAGAAAACTTTTACAAAATTTTTATATCCAGACTAGACAAAATTATTATTTTCAATAACCTT